GTGAGGAATACACAGGAAATAATAAGTATTTATTAAATTTGTTAAACTTATTTAGATTCTTGGTGCTATAGTTAATAACAATGTATTGTATGCTTGAAAATTGTTAAAAGGATAGATTTTAAGTGTTCTCACCATACACACAAAAATAAATATGTGAAGTAATGCAAATGTTAATTAGCTCGATTTAGCCATTCTCCAATATGTAATTATTTCAAAACACCCTGTTGTCCACTATAAGTATATACAGTTTGTGTTTTCCAATTTGAAAAAATAAATACATATCTGATTTATATGAGCTCAGTGAGGACAGAAGATTGTCTAGTCACTATAACTTTCCAGTTCCACACTCAGCTTCTAGCAGAAAGCAGGTACTTAATACACATTTGCTAAATGAAGAGTGGAAAACACCAGCAAAAGAAATTCAATTCTGAGATGGCGACAATGGAGAAAGTTTCAATAAGCAGACCTCTCTTGGTTGATGAGCACAGCAGACAACAATGCAGCCTGCAATGAAGTTTGGGTCAATCACAGGGAAGAGGAGAGATGACATTTCAGCCTAACTGGAGCTGAAATACACAAGCTTTTGGAAGTCCCTGAATTTGTAAAGGTCTGAATTTTTTGCCCTTTTCAATGGCAAAAGTCAGTTACTTTTGCACCAACCTAATATAAAGGTGCTAGGAAAGTATATAAAATTTCTGATAACTTAATTATCTGTTTACTTAATTATCTGAAGAGATCCATTTAAAATAAATTAATTGTATTTGAGTTGATTTCATGGAATTCTGCTCATTTTTACACTGTTATATAGTGAAAAACATTTCATTATTATTTGTTTCTAATAACTGAAATGATCTCAAGATTTTGTAGACAGAGACCAGCAAAGCAAAGACACAATCTCTTACTGAGCAATGCAAATTGCTGCCAAATAGATTATGCCCAATTTGGATAAAGTATTCAACCTAAATCCAATTGTCTATGGCCAAGGGAGCAAAGTGACCTATCATTAAACTGGCTACTAAGTGATAAAACTTGACCTGTGACCTGTGGTGGGTGAGAGTTGAGTCTCCAAAGAGAAATGAATTGGGCAGATACCATCTAGGTAAACTAACTTTAACTCACTACATTATTTCCTAACATTTTTAGCTTCAACTCTTCATGAAGGATACCAAAAGCAGTTCAGGAAGGTCCCCTGAAATTTCCCTAGAAAGTATCAAGAAGCTATATGGACCATGCCAAGCAAATCTGAAGAAGAGGCCCAGATATTTACTTGTCCAATTTATTTTAGTCTTTAGCCAAACTCCATGACTATGCTTTCCTTCTGCTGAAGTACTAAAAAACTATCTAAGCCCCCGCTTTGTTTTGATGTTTGAAAACTACCTATGTTAATTCTGTGAATTCTTGCCAAATATGCCAGATACAGGGATTAATATTATTTGCATTGTGACTTGTTGCTTAGAGTTACAGTGTTTTATCCTGCTTTACAACCAAAATACCTCTTCACTAAGCCTTCCTTTATTTAGAGGGAATCATTTCGAAGGATAGAAATTCAAATCGGAAGCCACAGAGATACAGAATCCAGAAACTGAAGAGTAAATGCCTGCATTGGCCATGACTCTCCTATCACTTTGGAACAATTCCACAAACAACTTTTCTCTGGAAATGTTGCAAGAGAGAGACATAAGTGCATAGACTTTATTTATGGTTTAACATCCCTTACAGGAGACAGATTGCAGAGACTCCCTCATGTCTAATCCTTTAGGTTTAAATTGGTCACTCTGAAACAATTTTAGCACAGATAACAGCAAGTGGGCCACACCCATATTCGTGTATTTGTGTCAAAGCTTAATTTTTGAGTCGTGTGGAACAAGAAAACAATCTCACCCTGACTTCCCCAACTCCAACAATTCTAGACAATTGTTCAGCTCTACAACCCAATCAGTTATTCCAGAGCCTGATTCGAATACTCAAGTCTGTAATCAAGCCAGAATTTCCTTTCCCATTCTACCACTTCTCACTGCCACCAACACATTGTCTAAAATATTAGATTTTTAAAAATGAAAAACGTTTTTAAAAACTGGAAAGTAGGCCTTCCCACAAATGCATTATCTATAACAACATCTTGTACAATTTTAAATTTAAAAAACTGTTATCACAGAATTCATACAAACTCATTGGAGAAAAATTATAGAAGAAAAATAGGTACTTTTTAAATAATCCTACTATTCTTTAATGCAGAGATAACTATTATTATCATTTTAAGTAGATAAACTGATATATATTTTCTATTTATAAAACATGTATTTTCTTTTGGAAAAATGGGATAATGCCTATTTAATAACCCACTCTCTTGCCTGGTAGTATTTCAGGAGCATATTGACATGTCAAAAATTTAATGGCTTAATGTTTCATGATAGGAATGTGTTATGGGCTGAAATATGTCTCACTCAAAATGATACACTGAAGTTCTAACCCCTGGTGCCTCAGAATATGACCTGATTTGGAAATAGAGTTGTTGAAGGTGTAATTACTTAAGATGAGCTCGTACTGGAGTAAAATGGGCCCTAATGCAAACAACTGATGTCCTTATTTAAAAAATGGCTACCTGAAGACAAAGCACATGGGGAAAGGCAATGCAATAATGAAGGCTGAGTGGAGGGAGGCTGCCACAAGCCAAGGAATGCCAAAAACCATCAGCAATCCACTAAAAGTTTGGAGGCAGCAAGAAAAGATTCCCCTACAGGTTTCTCAGGTTTTCTCCTATGCATTTAACATTACAAGTGTGAAATCAAGAACTATGAAAGACTAAATTCCTATTGTTTATGCCACTCAGGTGGAGTAAATGGTTGTTAGAGCAAACCTAGAAAACTTGGGTATTATAGTAAAAAAAAATAAAATAATAATGACAGTAAAAAGTCCCACAAAACAGGTGTGTCTATATAACAATATGCAGAAGGGTTCTTCAGTTCCACAAAAGGATTAGTTTAAAACCTACACAATAGCATGAGAACTCCATTTAATTCTAAGCTTTAACTTAGTCAATATTGCAACTAATTATGGAAGCTATTGTGAGAAGTTCTTACCCAAGAAAAGTTTTTAAGAAGCAAGTTATGTTTACTAGTCAGGATTCAGTCAGAAGACAGAAACTCCATCAGGAATTTGAAAATGGAAAATGGAAAGAATATCTGAGAGGTAAAACCTGGTTGCTAAGGGATACAGAGGGAGCAGCCGCAGAGCACAAATACTCCCAGGGCTGAGGGAATGGTGAACAAGGAAGAAACTTAGAAATGTTGAGGAGACTGCAAGGCTGAGATTTAAACCTTGGAGAGATGGTATGAATGCCACATGCTGCCAGCACCTGGTGATGAAGGAACGTGATGGAATCACTCATGGTGGAACCACAAGAATACCTCATTGTTTTGGTGAACAAGTACCTTGGTGGAGGATGCAGTTGACTGCAGTGGTGATGAACACATGTGCCAGGGGGTGTCATGAGTAAACCACAGAGGGCACTGCAGCTAGGGGGTGTGATGCTGTGTCCCTTCGTGCCAACATCCTTAATGTTCCATGGGAAACAGAACACGGAAACCAAAAAATCCCTTCCTTCTCTTCCAGTGCTCCCATGTCGTTTCAGGAGGCCTAATATCAAGCCAGCTGGCGCAGGGTATATGCCATCTTCAGGATGTAATTGCAACATCACAAAGCAAGGCAAACAAGGGTGAGTTGGGAGCTGAGAGGCAATACGTTAATAACTGGCATAGCTTCCTCCTTTATATCTGTCATATCTACGTATCTACATCTACATCAATGACATTAAGCCACCTCACTTCTACTTCTTGATTCCCAGACCCAGGTCTTAAAGGTCTGGTCTACGACCCAGGTCTACAGGGGAGAAAATATCCCAAAGTGCTGATTCAAATAATATACTGTACTCTATAAAAGTCTCTCCTTTCAAGGTTTAGTCTTCTAAGGGGCATTGTCACAGAGACCTCAGGAAGCCATTCCACCTTTCCAGTAAACCAGTGGATAGTGTATGTCTAAAGACCTGTGAATTCCCTGGGCATGAGGTACTGCTGCACTTTTCTTTACTCTGAAACTAGTTCCTTGATCAGAAGCATAGTGGCTCAGGCCTGTAATCCCAGCACTCTGGGAGGCCAAGGCGGGTGGATCACATCAGGTCAGGAGTTCATGACAAGTCTGGCCAACCTGGTGAAACCCCCACCTCTCCTAAAAATACAACATAGCTGGATGTGGAGGCGGGCACCTCTAATCCCAGCTACTCGGGAGGCTAAGAAGCAAGAATCCTTTGAACTCGGGAGGCAGAGGTTGCAGTGTGCCAAAATCATGCCACTGTACTCCAGCCTGGGCAACAAGAATGAAACTGTCTCAAAAAGAAGAAGAAGAAGGAGAGGGAGGGGGAAGAGGAGGGGTAGAGAGGGGAGGGAAGGGGAAGGGGGAGGGGAAGGGAGAAGGGGAGGAAGACGGGGAGGAAGCAGCAGCCGTAGCAATGCTGAGCAGTATATCATGACTATAGATAGGGCATTGTGTGGGTTCATGGACTGTGGTAGTGGCAAAAATGTCACAGTCAGGGAAGGAAAATTCATATGCAGAATACACACTTTATCCAGTGTAGGTGGCTCTGCACCCACCATGATGGAAACAGTTTGATGTAACCTCTCAGCCACCATGCCTCGGCTGGATCCCACAGGCGTCAGTGCCACACTGAGGATCCAGCCTCTCTATTTTGGGGAGGCTGGGTACTCAGCAATAATCAGTAGCCCCAACAGCCTTTCTTAAGTGAAAACCTGTGTTGTGTTCATAGAGAAACTTCATCTCTGTCATGATGGTCTCTCTGTTCCCAGTTTATCAAAATCAACACTGAGGGGGTGGAGGAAAAGGCAGATTGAAATACACCTGATGTTAGATATATATATATCTGATTACTGAGATTGTTAAGAAGAACAGCTTTTTCCAAAATCCTCTGCAAAACCCAGGATTCCTACCGTGCCTGTCTCTGGAATGCTACATTCGGTAGTATGTTCAGTCCATCTCTGTGATGTTCGTCTTTTCCAGTGTTTCTGATTTTCATGTGCAGATCTGCTGGTTATGAATCAAATTATAAATACTTATTGTTTAGGAAGAAAACTTGGAATGTTGACATCCAACTTAAAATTAGATATTTTCGTCATGAAGGCATAAATGGCATGACACACCCTTGGTTTTGTCATTAGGCATTTCCTGTGGCTGTGACCATTAAGTAGGTGTTTCTTTTGAATTGGGTTAGATCAAAGTCGTGTGGATGATACACATAGACCAGTACATTAACCTTTGTCCCACTTCCATGCTCCCCTAGCTTTTAATATTTATAATCGGATTGAGTTTTTCAGTTACAGGCTTTAAAAATGTATGACTCCAAATTTGAAAACTTGTGTTAGTAGTATACTTTTCAGTTAATCAAAAACTGTTCCATCCCTGAGCCTGGCACAGACTTAGAGGAAAATTTCCAGGGCTTCTAAAACTGTAACTTGAGCAGAAATTATCCAAATATATTAATAAAATAAAGAATCTGGTTAGGTATACCTGGCATGGAACTCGAGGTTCTGCATTTGTAACAAATTTCTAGGTGGTATTGATGAAGTGCCAGTCTGTAAGACCGTATTTCAAAAACAAAGGAGTAAACACACAAAACGTGTACTGTTCTGAAGCCTGCTTAGCAGCTCATGGAAGCCTGTTGTTACATTTTCAGGAATGCAAGCTGGTTGTTAAACACAGTGGTTATTAAAAGTTAAATTACATAAACTTCCAATTAAATAAATAATTCTAAAGCAAAGAAAATAGGGCCGGGCACGATCGAGACCATCCTGGGTAACACGGTGAAACCCTGTCTTTACTAAAAATACCAAAAATTAGCTGAGTGTGATGGCATGTGTCTGTAATCCCAGCTACTCAGGAGACTGAGACAGGAGAATTACTTGAACCTAGGAGGTGGAGGTTGCAATGAGCCAAGATTGCACCACTCCACTCCAGCCTGGGCAACAAAGTGAGACTCAGTCTCAAAAATAAAAAAAAAGAAATATGCAAAACTCATCACTTCCTAGTTAATTTCCTACGTTTTACTTTGATCTATACCCTTGAAGTTATTCACGTCTGTCATGCCTGTGCGATGAAAATATTTATAATGGTGTCCCTCAGTACATCTCTTTCCAGCTGTATTTCAGTGACAGTGCATTGGTAGCTTGATATGGCCTTAATGGTAGTATTTATAGCACGAAAACTGGCAAACACTACAAATCAGTTCCCTACTTTTTTTTTTTCAAACAGCCGGTTGTTAAAACATTCATCAGCACACCACTGGTCCATAAACAGAGCCTTATTCCTTTAATCTAAAATATTACCTTAGTCTACCCTGATTTCTATAACAAAAATAATGTAAACTAGGTAACTTATAAACAATGGAAATTTCTTGCAGTTCTAAAGGCTGGGTCAAGGCACCAGCATATTTGAAATCTGTGGAAGGCTCACTCTCTGGTTCAGAGATGGTGCCTTCTCACTTGGTAGAAGAGAGAGGCAGCTCTCTGGACCACTTTTATAAGGTCATGGCCCCGCACTGTAACATTATTGCACTGAGGACCATGAACATTCAGACCATAGATAGCCAAAGGGTAGACCAGGTAAGCACAATGCTCTGTAACTACACTCAAATCCCACTTGAAAGAAAGAGAAATAGGAACCCTATTATTTCTTCTGCATCTGAAAAGAACAGTACTCAGCACTAAAACACATAATGACTAGGACAAAAGAATACATGTGGGGCAATGAAAATTTGTGGGAATGAACATATGTTTAACCTGGCTGTTATAAGTAGCTCAGAAGTTAACATAAATATTTGATGATTATATTGTTTCTGCATACCTTCAATAACACATTTATATTTGTTTTTAGTAGTGATAATGTCCCTGTCACGTTATAATAAATCAAAGGGTTTAAAAAGTATTTCTCTGAAATCTCTAGCTCTTTTGCTATGCGAAGTAAATGGTTTTTTTTATTTAAAATTTCCTTTTGAAGTGAAATTTTTCAGACTACATGGATTAGAATGTATGCAGGTTTTAGAAATCCATATTAATACTCAAAAAATTGGTGCAAACTAAAATACTCTCTGGAATAAGACTTTCCACAGTTCATGGCTTTATTTACATTTTAATTGGTGCATATATTCGTATATTTACCTTTACAAGGAGTTTTCCAGCTTCTAATTTTGTCTTACACATATTTTTAGCCTTAATATATGTAGGAACACTTGAGCAAAAACTTATCTTCAACAATAAGCTCTAACTATATAAAATCTATTTTTTAATCTGTAAATAATTCACTCATTTAAGCGAAGTTCAAATATTTCCTCACTCCCTTAAATTCCGCTGATCACAAAAGCTCAAAATAATCTCTCCCACCTCACTCTGAATTCCTATATATTTTCTGCTTCGGGAAGAAAATCAACCAGAGCGCCATTCCCATAAGACTTTATTCAAAGATATCTGGCAGGAGAAGACTGTGAAGGAGGGTAGAAACATTCTAAATTGGGGAAGGGAGTGGAATGTTTGTGAAGCTTTGAGGTTGGTCAAAGTTCAACTCTTTCTAGAAATGAGAAGAGAGGGATTTTTCATGTGGGTTAGAAGACATTGCTTGGGCAGGATTTTATCAAAAGACTGAAGAGAAATAGGGTTTATGTCACATGCAAGAGAGGTTGGAACAGCTGCCAGAAACAGGGGTATGTGAAGGCCACAGTGGAAAAAATTCTCACATCTCAAGTCCTTCAGCTTTACACATCTCTATCAGTCATTTCTCTTTTTTAAATGTACCCTAGCTATCAGTCAGGGTTCTCTAGAGGGACAGAACTGATATCTATATGAAAGGGAGCTTGTTAAGGAGAATCGACTCACATGCTCACAAGGTGAAGTCCCACAATAGGCCGTCTGCAACTTGAGAACCAAGGAAGCCAGTAGTAACTTAGGGCAAGTCCCAAAACCTCAGAAGTAGGGAAGCCAACCATGCAAACCTTCAGAAGGCCCAAGACCCACTGGAGTAAGTCCAAGAGTCCAACAGCCGAAAAACTTGGAGTCTGATGTTTGAGGGCAGGAAGCTTTCAGCACAAGACAAAGATGAAGGCCAGAAGCCTCGGCAAATCAGTTTCTCTTACCTTCTTTTGCCTGCTTTATCCTAGCCAAACTGGTAGTTGATTGGATGGTGTCCACACATATTGAGGGTAGGTCTGCCTGTCTGGTCCACTGACTCAAATGCTAATCTCCTTTGGCAACGCCCTCACAGACACACCCAGGAACAGTCCTTTGCATCCTTCCATCAATCAAGTTCACACTTAATATTAACCATTACACTAACTAAGGTGACCATAAAAATTATCCTTGACACATAGGTGAGTGAAAATAAATGCTATTAAAAATTATCCTGGGAAAACAGGCATGAACCACATGGTCATCATACACTGAGACAGAGTTTTATCATTTTTTTTCCTGTTTGTTTACTCTGCCCAATTAAATTATATAGTTCTCCATGTATCATAAGACAGTATCAAAGAGGCCTTAAAAATATCACTTGATTGACTGGAGTAAAATGATAAATATAAAAGACTATATAGAGGATTCACTAATGACAGCTGCAATATCCATTCAGGTAGTTTTTTTCCAGTTTGTATTTATTACACTCCTCCATAGGCATACTTGCTATTTGTGCCCTTACACATCGATGATACTGTGAGGTCATCCAGCTAGCTTCCCTGATACATACCACCCCATTATTTTCCCTCTTTTAAAACTCCAAAGAAAGAAAAAACATTACTTCTTTATGTAAAAGAGAAATGTAATATATATGAAAATTAGTAAATTTAGTAAATTGTACTGACTCCGGGCATTTCAATTTGTGGGAAATAATTGCACTCTCTAGTAGAATAGTCTTCATTCAAGCATGATGGCTTTTTAATTATGTCACTATGGAATTTTTAAACTACAAATTTTTTCAGGCCCAGTATTTACTAAAAATGTGTAATTAAAAGAATTTTTATGTAGGTTACTTAGAACTACATCATCTCTATGAAATAGAAGAGAAGATAAATAAGATGGGACCAAATTACTGAACACATGACTATTTAATCTGGAGAACATCATTCTCAGCAAACTGACACAAGAACAGAAAATGAAATGCCACATGTTCTCACTCATAGGCGGGTGATGAACAATGATAACACATGGACACAGGGAAGGGAGCACTACACACTGGGGTCTATTGGGGGGAATAGGGGAGGGACAGCGGGGCGGGGAGCTGGGGAGGGATGGCATGGGGGGAAATGCCAGATGTGGGTGAAGGGGAGGAAGGCAGCAAAGCACACTGCCACATGTGTACCTATGCAGCTATCTTGCATGTTCTGCACATGTACCCCAAAACCTAAAATGCAATAAACAAAAAAGAATAAAAGAAAAAAGAAAAGTGCCTCTTGCTGCCAGAGCTCATTTCTCAGGGTAAACAGGAAATAGATTAAGTTGGTAAATTAGGAGGATACAACATTAAAACACCCACATCCAAAGTGCTTTGTATTATTGACTGATTTTATAAACCTATTCTGCTCATAAGTTTCCATCTCCATGATCAAAGTAGAATAAATTCATTCAATTCAGCCAATATTTAATAACAATTATCAATATGTGGGAAACAGCCCATTGTTGAGGCATTTTGTTTTTAAAATATTACTAAAATACAGGCCAGGTGCAGTGGCTCATGCCTGTAATCCCAGCACTTTGGGAGGCTGAGGTGGGCAGATCACAAGGTCAGGAGTTCAAGACCAGCCTGGCCAATATGGTGAAACCCTAACTCCACTAAAACACACACACACACACACACAATTAGCCAGGCTTGGTGGCAGGCGCCTGCAGTCCCAGCTACTTGGGAGACTGAGGCAGGAGAATCGCTTGAAGCTGGAGGCAGAGGTTGTGGTGAGCCACTGCATTCCAGCCTGGGTGACAGAGGGAGACTCTGTCTCAAAAATAATAATAAAATAAAAATAAATAAATATGGATACCTACAACTGAGAGGCTTATAGTCCGTGATATGGTTTGGATCTGTGTCCCCAGCCAAATCTCACACTGAACTGTGTTCCTCAGTGTTGGAAAAGGGGCTTGGTGGGAGGTGATTGGATCATGAGGCATGATTGGATCAGAATTCTCATGAATGGTTTAGCACCATCTCCTGGTGCTGTTCTCATCATCGTGAGTTAGTGAGTTCTTCTGAGATCTGGTTGTTTAAAAGCCTGTGGCACCTCCAGCTCCTGCCACCCGAGACACCTGCACCCTCTTTGCCTTCCACCATGAGTAAAAGCTCCCTGAGGCCTCCCCAGAAGCAGATGCTGCCATGCTTCCTATACAGCCTGTGGAAACACGAGGCAATTAAACCTCTTTTCTTTATAAATTACCCAGTCTCAGGTAGTTCTTCATAGCAGTGAATAACAGACAAATTATAAGTGATAACAGACTAAGTGATAACAGACTAATAAAATCATAGTCCTAAAAACAGAGACAAATACATTATCAACTGAATCCAAAAAACCCCACAGTTTCGGTATCTTCAGAGAAATGCATAA